TACCTCCTGAAGGACATCTAAATAAGTAGTTGTTGATATGCCATATATTTGTACAAGTTTTCTGCTTGTAATTTCAATCTCTTTTTCTAGTAATATACCCTGGAATGAAAGAAGCTGTCAGAATTCCTCCTACTTTAAGACTCTTTAAAGGAAAAAACCATTATGGACTATTAAAAGTTTGCATTATGCATAAGAGATCAGGCAAATGCCTGAAGACAAAGCACAAAAAACACAGGATACTTCAAAGAACTCCATTCTGCTTAACTTAGTCCCACCTGAAGAAAATAAATAAGGCTGAAAATTTAGGAAGAACTTTTATACACAAATTAAACTTTTGCTTCTGCCTTGGGCTTTACAATCCACTGATTATGGGGTGCCATTTGTCCCATGGAGTCTGTGCACAGGATTCTAAATGAGGAGTCTTTTCCATGTCATCTCAGTGAATGGGGACCTCTCTAGATCTGCTCCAGAACCAGCTTTATCTTAGTTTCACAGATTCTTCTCTGTATCCAGGATTCTTTTCCTTTTCTTCTAATCCTTTGGATCAATATCTTTTTAAATATGCAGAATGAGTGGGGGTAAGAAATGCACATTTTATTTATTTTTTTTAAAGATTTTATTTGTTTATTTGACAGAGATAGATCACAAGTAGGCAGAGAGGCAGTCAGAGAGAGAGGAGGAAGCAGGCTCCCTGCTGAGCACAGAGCCCGAGGCGGGACTCGATCCCAGGACCCTGAGAGCATGACCTGAGCCGAAGGCAGAGGCTTAACCCACTGAGCCACCCAGGCGCCCAGAAATCCACCTTTTATTAACAGCTAAGAGGCATGATCCAGTTTACTATCCTTGCATTATTTAAGAAAAAATATCTTACTGGTATTATTTTCCTTTTTTAAAGGAACAGAAGAAAGGAAAATTAGATGTGTATGAAACAAGGAATTGCTCTTTTGAATGATGCATTATTGATTCCAGTTAGTTTCACTTTTCAGAGAGAGGATAAGTTACACCATTTTATTTTCAAGAGGTTGTAACTTACTCTTAGTTTTAAAAAATAAAAAGAATATTGCAATCCTATATTGTGACACTCCACTGGCATACACAATCCCCCAGTGGAGGCCATATCATTACAGCTGAATATACTCTATAATGCTATGCACATAGTAAGAAGTTAATACATGTTTATTGGATGAATGAATAAAGCATTGCCTCAAAAGGACAGATTTGAATAAGTTTGTAAAGAAATGCACTTTGATAGAAAATTCACAAAGTATAGATAAATGGCTACAGAAGTAGGAGGTACACATTCCTAGAAAAGAACATTCCCCAAGTTTACATTAATAATGTATTGTTCTAGCCAGTTATTCATAAAATTTGTTATTAATTAATCTTACATGATATGGTATGATGGGAATAGCTGAAAATACAAATACATGCAACAAAAGTGTTCACATTACTTAGTTAAAATGTAGTTCAGACTTCTAGATGCTGACTTCTTATATATCAATATTTTGGAGTCCCTAGTTAATCCCCCCCTCTACTAACCACACCAGTGTTAGAAGGACTATGTGGAAATGGGAGCACTTACCAATTACTGTTGGGAATGTAAATTGGCACAAGCACACTGGAGGTCAATTCTCCAATGATCTTTAGTGATACTTAGTAATTTCTTAGTATTTGCTTAGTACTTGGTAAATTCTGCAATGATTCTTAGTAAAAGTTAGAATCTTCATACTCCATAAGCCAGCATTTTCATTTCTTGATATATACCTTCAAAAGACTGCCATACATGTGCATAAAAACCATTGTTTTATATCATGGAAATAATCAAAATTCCCATTAAAAGGACAGTGGCCAAAAATGTAATAATAAAAATGTAATAAAATGTATATCCATAGTATCCATAAAAAGCAATAACATTCATTATAATACATGATATAATATATGATATAATACATGAATTTATATAAATATTACTGAAATTAATTCCAAAACATATTTTATTCACTTGAAATTATGTTTTCTAAAATTCATTATAATACATGAAGTTACATTTGCTTTTAACCACCCTTTTAACATTTTGGTTAAAAGCAAATGTAACTTCATGTATTATAATGAATTTTAGAAAACATAATTTCAAGTGAATAAAATATGTTTTGGAATTAATTTCAGTAATATTTATATAAATTAATAAAAAATGATTCCTTCTCATTCCATATATATGTATATATATATTATGATTATGTATGTACATACATATATATGTTTATATGTGTATATATTTAATTTTTAGGAATACATAATTTCATAGTAAAACAAAAATAACCATGAAATATTCCTAAAGCTAATTATTCTCAGTACTTGGTCCTTGGTCCTGCCCCAGACCTGTAGGCTTATATGCTACTCCATTCCCCATCCTTTCCCCAGCAGATGCTGTCTGAAGCATAATCCTGTTTTTGTCATAACAGGGAGCTTATCTGCCACTAGATAGATTTAAATAATGTGTAGTCTCTCCCTTTCTACTGAGACAGTATTTTGGTGAGTCTCTTCAGACATGAGAATTTGAGTCAAGTATCTAACTATTAAATAAATAATGGAGAAACTTAAAAACAAGGATGTAATATTGAATAAACAGATCTTTGGGAAGATCTGTGATATGTCCTGCAGAAAGGCCATGGGTAGGGGATAATTGTATATTTTTCCATTTCCTTTTGGCTGGAGCTGAAGTTGGGGGTGAGTATAGAGGCTCTTCTTTTAGAAGGGACAAGGACAGGTGGGGCAGAACATCCTGAGAAAAGGAGAATGTTCAAGCAGCAGAGCTGCAGAACAAAGGCTCAGGAGAGGGTTGTGTCCTAAGAAGGGGCAGGCCCATTGACTTACGTTTTCTGATACTCATTTTTAAGTCTCCTTTTTTGTACGAATCCCACTGTGTGGTCTTCAAGCCCCGGGTTATGTCTTTTGGACACGCCCACCTTGTATTGGCTGTGTTTCGTGGCCTTATACTAGCAGACCAGAAAGCTGCAGCCAGATAGGAAAGGGAAACTGGTATTGATGATGCTTGAAACAGTCCAGGGCTTCAGAGCACACAGAGCAGAGAGGTGGGTGTGAGGATTCTGTGTGCTGACGGGAGGTCCGGGCGCTTCGGCAGAGGCAACAGGTGCCAGGAGATGGGGAGGAGGATTGAGGGAGCCACGCAGCTGGAATTGAAATGACCGCAGCAAAGACCACAGGAGAGAAGCTCAAGCCAGCTCTTGGAGCAACACCACCTGGCTACGGGAGCACTGGACAGTAGGACACTCGAATGTCCCAGAGGTCCATCAGGACGATTTGTGAGCCTCTCTTTGAGAAAGGCTGGGAAACACAAAGGAATGGAAGGAAGGGGAAACCTCAGGTTGGTATCTGCTGGGCCTTTGGAAAGAAAAAACAGTGTCTGTGCTGTTTTGGGGAGGACAAAGAGAGAAAGAGTGAAGAAAGAAATGGGCAGTCCCTACACTACACCAGGTTAAATGACCTGGAAGTTCTTCCTTGCAGGTTAAATATTGAAAGATTCCAGGAGTCAGTCATATGGCCATATCCACATACATGGATGGTTGACTGTATAGGCCAAAATACATGTTTAATTCACTCAGATTCTCATTCCAAAATGGTGCTCTGTGGAAAATCAAATTTAATTTGTCCATTATGGTCATAAATTAAAATACCAAGTTTGATAGTGTTAAAACAACTTAGTTTCTTTGGAATAATGTTTCTTCAAATGCCCATAAAAAATAGTAACAAATCTAGGAAACATATAATTTAATTAAAATACTAATCATATTGGGGCACTTGGGTGGCTCAGTCAATTTAGCCTCCAACTCTTGATTTTGTCTCAGGTCATGATCCCTGGGTCTTGAGACCTAGCCCCTCTCAGCTGGGAGTCTGCTTGACAGTGCGCTCTCTCTCTCTCTCTCTCTCTCTCTCTCTCAAAATAAATAAATCTTTAACAAATAATTATATTTATTCACCTTTTCTGCAAAATGACAAGTCAGGTAATGGCAGTTCTTCAACCCCAAATACTTCAAAACAGCCACAACAATAAAAAGAAATATCTCTTTGCCAATAAGAACATAAACTTTTGGCTGTCAACAAGCTGTGAGGCTGACTACAATTTTTCATCATGCTCTATGGCTTATCAAGTCACTTAGCTATTTTTAGAAGTAGACAGTGTTATTTATAATGCAGCGTATCTCGGAAGTTCAACCTTTACAAATCATGCCATCCAGGGCAATTGTCTTAGAAGCAAAATCTCCATGGCTACCTGGTCACCTGCATTTAGGAAGATGAGCTGTCGAGTCAAGGTGATAATGCTTTCTCTTCCCCTCTAGTATACAATTGTAGTTAAATATCACCTGTATGTTTCCATTAACTTTGTGAGGTCATTGAAGGTTTGTATTTTCATATGCCTCTGACTGAACAAATTCAATTAAAAATGAAATTATAGGTTTATTTATTACACAAATCACAAGGAATAATTCTCTTCTTGCTTCTTTGCTTTTGGGGGAGAGAATGTGAAGAAATCCTGAGAGAGAAATAATATTAAAGTTCATTTTCAAAATATAAAATATTGTGTTTATAACTGTCAGAAACTTACAGAGATTGGAATAATGTATCATAGACTCTGGCCCAGGAGATTTCTAGAAACTAGAAAAATAGAGTATTTCTGATATAATAGTGAAAGCAAGGGCATATATATATATATATATATATATATATATATACATATATATATTCATTCAAAGAAATATTAAAAAAAACAGTAACTACATGAATACAAGACTCTTAAAATGAGTATTGCATTATTTTCCTTTCCTCTTTTTATTATTTTCATGTAGTTCCTTCAGACATCAAGAGTATGATGATTTGAGTAGTGTTTACCTTTGCTGATAGCTTCGGCTCCCCCTGTTGTCCGAAGTGATAAAATACATCACTCTGGATACAGTAAGGCACTCACTTCCTCTGTTATTTGTAAGCTGACATGAAGTAGACAGACACCTTCTGAAGTTTTTATGCATGCTGTGTTTTTTCTCCTTGCTGCAACAAGAAAAGCCTTTTCTTTTAACCCAGCTGCCTTTGAAGAAGTGACTCAAACATCTTCATGGCCTCTAAAGGTAAGAGTAAATATAGTTAGCTAATAAATTTTTCCTTATTTATGACTAAAAGTACTCAGTTGTAGGGATTTTATAATCAGTGAGGTCGACACTTTGAAATCTGTCATTTATCAATTTTGAAGACTGGAATTTTTAACTTCAAGGAAAATGTTCCATTAAATTAAAAAAGAAACACTATCTGATTGAAGGTAAAAGTTAAGATAAAAACAATGTTTTAGTTACCATGAATATAAATCTAGTGAATTAATAAGAAAAGCTGCATAGCAGAATTTAGAAGGGCAGTATTTAATACCAAACACAAGGACAGGTTGATATTCCAAGTTTAAAGGGATTTGAAGAAAACTTTTCACACATAAGTTAAAAAGTGTTAAAATACAGTTCGGTATTTTTAAATTCTCCACTTGTTGTGATATAGCCACTTACAAAGAATTCAATATGTGTTGCTGGTAAATTCTAATAATTTAATGGACTAGAAGTAAATATTACTGAATTATGAAAAAACTCCCAAAATTCTTTGACAGTAAATAATATATTAAAAAGCAAACAGAAAATAACTAATCTAAGTAGATTAATTGGGGACTTTGTTGGACAGGAAGCTGGGAATTTTTCCCTCAAATTCCTAAAACTGCATAAATATCATTAGTTCTGTCTTACTTTAAATAACTTCTCAAAAGACAAGAGATATGGTTGTTTTTGATGGCAATAAGTTTCAATCTCACTAAAAACACTTGTGAAATTTATAAAAATGAGATTATAATGTGTTTCATTCCATTATCAGAACAAACCATTAAACTCTAGCCTGTAATAAAAAGTTTAAGCATGAAGAATTATGATTAGTATAATTGACAGAAACCTTTTAACCTAATTACAAATAGGATAATAGAGTCCAACAAAAAAATCCACCACTAATTTAATGAAGCTTTCAAAGAAGTACATATGCTTATTTGCTTTCTTTATCAAAACACACTTTGGGATGCTATTTAATATGGAACAAAGGAGGTAATCTTTTCATTTTCCTTCAACATTTAATGTACACCAGTCCCTGAGTATCACGGAGAAAGCTGAAACAAATTGTAAACTATAGACATGAAACAAAAAAATCATGAACTTTAATACATGTACCTCGTTTTTATATTTGAAAGCGAACAAAAAAAACCTTGACAAGCCTTTTCTTTCATTTAAGACTTGACACCAACACTTAATCCAAAACACTTCTTCACTATATAAGAGTTATAGCAACAACCGTAGCCTGTAAGGTAAAGAGTTGCAGAGTACGTGAAATATTTATAAGCTAGTTATACATTTTTAAAAGAGTAGATAGAAATTCAAAGCCAGATAGAAATTCAAAGGCGTTCCTTCTTTAACTGGTGGTCTGAGTCTTTGAAGAAACTTGTGACTGGAAAGCATAGTAAGATCAAAATATGATTAATCTACCAAAAAAAGCAGTGATGTTCAGTAATGATAAAAACTCACCACTAAACTTAGAGGCAAAACTTCAGGTGAAAAACTAATACTCCAGCAACCTACTCAAATTATTTAGCACATGAAGTGGACAAAACATCTGTTAGAGACTCTATTCTATTTAAAGGAAATGAAAGCAAAGCTCCCTTTTGAATCAGAAATCTGGTTTGAGAGGGCAAATCAGATTATCATCAATTATTTACCTAAAACATTTTGGTAGACAGTTTTCTTCAAATATGTTGCAGGACCTTATTCATAACATCATGAAAGTCTTCTGCCTCATGAATGATAGTGGCAATTATTATTTCCCGGGGAATACAGAGTCATTGGATAGTTCACACATTTTGTGGGCAGTTGAATCAGCACCACTAAACCAGAGCACAGTTTGAATACTGGATGCCATTAGAAGTGAAGAAACACTTGTGTGGTCTGAAGTCCCCTGATTTAGTATAAATAAACACAATTGAAGAACAAGTTGGTCCCAAATTTTAAGTTTGAGAAAGACGGGAGTTTCCAGGATGATCTAAACTGAACAGAAGCCATCTTTAAAAGCTTTTCCAATATGAACTGAAATCTCAGAAAAGGAAGCAAGTGATGTCACCATGGTGACAAGAGTTTCCGGCTGAGACTCCAGTCGGACTTTTGACATGATCCGCCCTGGGACCCCAGTGCATCACTGCTTCTTGACCTGCTTTGAGGTCTAAGGACCCAAAGACCTGCGTCCAGAATGTAGAGCCACTTGCAAGACACTCAATAATCTGCATTTTGTCACAGCAGATATAGCTTACAAGATAGAACTGAAGTAATTTGCTAATCTTTCTAACAACACAATTGACGAGGGAGAATCTAATGGTCTTCTGCCAGCTATTATTAGACATCGATCCCTGTATGTGTTTTTTTTATTTGAAGGATAACATGCATACAGTCCACTGCATAAAGAGCATCAAACTTAAGTTCATGATTTTTTAAAACAAGGGTGCGCTTGTGTAACCACCAACAAAATTACGATATAGAAAATTTCTGGCATCTCATAAAGTCCCCTTTTTGGTCAACAGTCATACACCTTCACAGCCAGGATGAACTTCTATCCTAAATTTTATCATTATGAACTGGTTTTCTCTAGATCATAAATTGGCCTCTATTTTTCTCTGAAAGTCAATGACAACAGTGCTTTTGGCACTAAGCTAAAGAAAGGATTGTTTGTTCCATGTTACTATTTCCAGTTAACCTTGCTGTTTGGGTCCTCTCCCAAATTAGACATGGTGTTACACAGTCTTCCTCCCCAGTTTGCTGATGGAGGTTCTGTTCAGGGCACCTTCTCCACTTCTCCAAGAGGAGGAGTACTTGAGCCCCTATGCTTTTTGTCTGCCCAGATCTGAGAAGTTCAGGATGGGTCCTGTGGGGAAGCAAACTGCTAATATTGGTGTGGAACTCTATTTTATTTATCTAGTTATTTATAACTAGTTATCTAGTTATTTATAGATTTACTTATTTATTTTAGAGAGAGAGAGCAAGGCGGGGTGGGGGGAGGCAGAGGGAGGGAAAGTCCTGAAGCAAACTCCCTCCTGAGCACAGAGCCCCAACGTGGAGTTTGATCCCAAACCCTGAGATCATAGCACACACAGAAGTGAAGAGACAGCAGCTTAACCAACTGAGCCACCCACGCGCCCCGATATGGAGCTCTATTTTAATGAGGCCAAATGACGAGTTTTTTTCCCTATGGTCATAACACTAAAGCGTGTCCGTCCAAATTCTAAATGTCACAGACCAATACAAACTTAAACACCTGTCTTCATCCATTCCTACAACCTGAAGTTTAAATAAATAAATAAATCACCTGGCAATTGTTTCTCATTAACACTACATGTATACACAAACTTAACGAGCTGATTATTACTGCAAAGGGTTTATGTCAAGGTCCAAAGGACCATTACTTGGATGCCCATGTTCCTTCACCAGTTTGCTCTGGCTTTTTTTTTTTTTTTAATCCCTCTCCAAGAACTCATTCAGGCTATGCTTGAATTCTCTTAATAGTGGGGAATTTACTATTACCAAAGGAAACTCAGTCCTTTCTTCAAATTTATTTTTTAGAGATTTAAAAATTCTGAAAAATACACCCCCACATACACACAACTTACATGAGTTCAGGAGAGATAATCCATTCTAATCTACTGTGAATTATATAGATGTCACTCCAACTTTAGTATAAGTACAATGAGAGTACTTACTCAAATCTCTGTGCAGCTGTTATAAACTTCTCCTTATAGCAGACCCTTTTTCTTGTCCTTCCCATTCATATGTCTTTAGAATAGTATGAATTGCTTTCATAATGGCCCCTCTAATATTTGAAAATACCTATCACAGATCTTGACCCATACCTACACTCAATCTAAGACAGCATAGTATTATCAAACTAAATGAATGCAACTATGAGAACTCCAATAGTTTATGGATTAATAAAGATGAGGAATAAAAACTCTGATAGTCTTTGAAAAAAAATGGTATCTAATGAGGGAGAAATCTAGAAGGCAATCATGCAAAAAGAAAAAAAAAGTGATAGTAGAAAGACAGTAATTTATGATTAAAAAAAAAAAGATTTTTTCACACATTATTACATCTTATGCATAATACTACAGTTTCCAGACTAATGCAGGATAAATAGCAAATATCTACATTTTAATCTAGCAGATAAGTGGAATTAGAACATTTTTACCTGGCAATAAAATAGAAAACAGGTGATTTAAAATCAAAACCAAACATTTTAGAATTCTGTAAATATTTTCTTGTTTGTAATATTAAGTAAGCTACAAAGGGATTCACACTGTCAAAAGTATTTGGATGTTTTTATACAAAATATTGGGAAATCAAAGCTTCATTAGATATTATACTGCCCTTAAGCTCATAAATTGGTTTGAATGTTCTGCTAGTATGTAGAATTAACCCATTAGTTCTCAAAGTATACGGTCAGAGAAGCAGCGTTAGCTCATCTGGGAACTTAAGAGACATGCAAATTCTGAAGCCTCACTCCTGCCAACTCCTGAATCAGAAACTCTGGAGTGGGGCCCAGGAATCTGTCTTTTAACAAGCCTTCCAGGTGGTTGTGGTAGAGCCTGGACCAGGTAGAGCCTGGTCTGTGGTAGAGTAAGGACCACTGAATTAAACCTAGACACAGCAGTAGGATTGATAAAAAGAGACAAAATATTCTCAGCAATTACAAGGTACCCTCATAAGTATCTGAGGAAGGGAGAATATGCCTTGAAACTGGTAATTATGGTTCAAAACTGGTATCTATGTTTATCTTTTTACGAGTAGAGAATATCTAGTTCTTTTTACCATTTATTTTTCTTTTGGAGTTTATAATTTTTCAGCTCTTTGAACAGTTTAACTTGCTTTCAAAAATATATTTTTGTAGGAATCATTTATTTTGCCCGAATTATCCAACATTTTCATATAACTTCTATCAGCTGTCTTCCGCATTCCTTTTTCTCTGGCTTAGGAGTTAAGTGAAGGCAACAGTGAGTAGGGAAAATTCAGGAGATTATTGACCCTCTGAATTCAGAAGTAACAAATACTATGAGAAAAAAATGAAATGGCCTAAATTTAAATATGGGCTGAGATTTTCATTCTCTTGCAGATGCGCAGAACCAAAGAAGTAGAGGTTTGCCTGGCTTTCTTCCTGGAGCTCCAGACCCTGACCACAATTTTCAGGTCTCACTTCCCAACCCAGGGAACCAAGTGTGGCAGCCAGTTCTCCCTCCACCAGGCAGTCTCCCTCCTGGTCTAGAATATTTAAGCCAGGTGTTTTTATCTCTTTATTTCTACACACGTTCACCCCTTAAAATGAATACAGACTTGGTTTCTTGCTTTTCAACCACAGTTGAAGAACTTCAACAAATCACTTACCAAAATGAGAAAAGCAGTATAAATTATGAAATTATGAAAAAAGTTATCTCTATTATTTAGAAACAAATGTATTCTTTTTTATTCCCACTTCTATTATCCTTATTTATCTGGCAGAGTGATGACACTAAACATTTTTGATGGAGCTGTTTAGCACATTTATCCTCCTTCTGCTCATTGCTCAAGGTATAAGCAAATGTATCCTCAAGGAATTGTCCAACACATCTAGTGACCTACAGCTATTCAATTAAAGAATATTTATTGAGTACTTGCTATCATCAAGACATATAAAAAGCATAAAACCTAGGTCCTCTTACCTAAACATTCTGCAACCTAATCGTCTTGCAAAAAATGTTGACAAAAAGTGCAAGGCTATGTACTAAAGCCAGATAAACACACCATCATAATGTGTGCAGGTGCGTAGAGGAGAGAAGGGTTGTTAAGGATCTAAGTACACAGGAGAGACGTCAGTAATGATCTGAGAACTCAGCGTCTTCAACTGAATCTCAAAAGGTAGCTATAAAGGCAAGGGAAAGCAAATTACCAAGTTAACATCATTGTCTTTGATACTGTTGCTTCTCCAGGCTGATTTGCTTAAAAGATTATATTAGTATTAGATATAGTCATTGGAGGGTGAGCAGTGATTCAATCCTTATAATAAATCAATCAAGAAATACCATCATCTGAATTATGTGGCACATAAAGAGCCATATATATATATGTATATGTATACATATATATATATATATATTTGTTACTTTTCTATTTTATCCTGCAAAAGATTAGAAATACGCTAATATTGAGATGTCAGCACATCTGCTGCTATTTTCAGCTTCTTTGGCATTCTTTCAAACTATAAAGTCTATCTCCTTTATCAAAATCAAATCTCTGTGTTAATTCCCTTAAGGTACCAGAGATTTCTGTTATGCCGGATAGGGTTTAAGCTGCAAGCAGCATATGTTCCTGGGAAAACGTTTATAATTGCAGATGCCTTCTCCAGAAACCCACTGGCAGACAAATGTACTTCAGAGACTGGAGAGCTCAGGGAGATATGTAAAAGAGCTGGAAAAGCTAAGCTACCATCTTCCATCTGCAGAAAGGATCAGCTGTAACAGCTGACTAGAGTTGATTAACTGCTGCAAGCTGTTTGGGAATGTTGTCAGACAAGGTTTTGCCAAGTATAAAAGTGATATACCAGTGCCAGAGGGCTGAGGTTTGATGATCACATATGGTCATCACATATTCTTCTTCCATCCATGAATGATGACACACTCGGAGCCAGATGCTTGACATGAATACATTTCTTTTTTTACGTTCCATAAATAGAGATATGAACCCATTGGCTTCAGTTCTAAAATGAAGTCAATTTTCTAGACATATACCTTTGGTAATCTTTTCCAGAAAATAAAAATAGGCCACAAATTGGTGAATAGTTTATTTCAAAGGGAAGGGTAATTTATTCACCTTATCCTAAAAGAATACTTGCTTACTTTAAAGCAGTGTACTTATAACAGGATAAATGAGCATTTTGAATGTTTTATACCACAAGTCTGTAAGATATATATAGATATAGATATAGATAAAATGAATTTTGTGTTAAATTTTATCTAAAAACCATAAGAATGAAATAAAATCATGAATATTTGAAAATAGTACATCCTTCAATAAACAGGAAAATATACAAAATATACAAAAAAATCCTTCTAAATTAAAAAAATCAAAGTTAAAATGTAAAAACTCATTTATTTTCCTTTAATCAAGTCCATCCTATGACTAATGAAAATCTTGTTTCCATTAATAATTTGAAAATAAAACTTCAGGTATGTATATAAACATAAATACATATACACATATGTATATATGTATATATATATGTAAATATGTATGCAATATACATATATATGAATGTATATGTGTGTATGTATGTGTGTGTATATTTACACCATTCATATAGAGCTAAACATAAGAATAAACTAGAGATTCTCTCTCTGGATTAACATATTCATAAGTCAATATCATTTTATCCTATTAGTGTCAAATGATAATTATTAGAATTTAGTCACCTACCTGGAGGTAGGAGTAGTGAGTTAAATTCTACAAAGACACATGTGTAGATCCAATTTATTTGAAGTACATATATTTAATGGAATCACTGATACCTGTAAACCTGATAAATTATATATGAGAATTTATTCTTAAGCTATATATCCAAAGCTTTCATTAGATTTTCACTCTATGGTTTTCATACTTCAGTGCTTTACTTGCCCTGATACTTGAATATATGATCCAATCTGTCTAAAGTTGCCAACAATTCCTAGCCCATTATTTAATAGCCAAGGATGGAAAGGACTCATTTGGACAATAGTTTAGAAGTGCCCAGGACTACTTAAAGGAAACTGCAAGAACAAAACAAGACCCTCAAATCCAGGGGCTTTGCTCACAGAGATAGATCAAATCAAACATTATCACAGAGATTGGGGTATGTATAAAGGTAGACAAACTAGGAAGAAAAGGTACTCAGAAGTTCCACAATATCACTTAAGAATTGTTTATCCCAGTTCCTAAGATTAGGTTAGTGATGCCAAAACAACAACAGAGTAGAAAGCACATCAAAATGGGTGGCAGGCTGTAAGATCTGTGTCTAAATCCTGCCCAACAATTTTACAAGCTCTGCTTGTCCTGGGCTGACTGCTTACTCCCTCTGGGATTGTTTCTTCATGGATAAAATGTAATGATGTCTACCTCTCTGAGTTTTTATGAGGATTAAATCAAACACTATGTCAAAATATCTACCACAGTGACTACCTCCTGGTAGCCACTAAATAAACAGCTACTATTATTAAAAAGCAGAGGGGTATGACTTTCCTTTCCAATGTGCAGTGGATCTCAATTGATAGTCTCTAAATTTCAAGACTAAAACTCGATCGATGCCACTAACATTAAAGTTCTCGGATTCAAACTTCAGTCTTGCCCCCATAGTTCTTCTCCATACCTAAGTTACCTCTAACAGACCCACCGCTAAATAATCGTGGATATCCTTTTTGAACTTTTCTCTTCTCTCCATTTGCCTTAAAAGAGAACAGAACTAACAATAATACACTACAAAAGATTGATTCTAATATTCAAAAATTGCCATTATTGTTAAAATAGGTTTTAGAATCTCTTAAATCATAAATTATTTATGGAAAATATTTTTTGTGAACCTTAAAAAAAAAGGCTACATGAGCTCATTTAAGAATAATAAGATTTAAATAGAGGATGAGGCATTAGTTTTACTACACCTCAGGATATACATGGAGAATATAGGAAGTAATGTAACTTCAGATTTTCTGTGTTTGTGATGCCCAATCAATACCAAATATTACTAATGATATTTCAGTTAAATGGTTACCAGGGAGTTTATTAATGTTAAGGGAGAATAAAGTAAAATTCAGAGGCAAAATAGAACATGAAATGTTGGAGAAGACAATGGTCTTCATGGTTCATGAATTTACCTTAGTGAAAAATAAAATTCATTCCAAGAACATATTTTATTATTTCCTTTAAATATTTGTATTGTATACTTTTAAATATAGTCATTTCTTAACTATCTATGGTTACTTTATCTCTGTAAGCTAACTTCATTTTTAATTACATAAAGCAGATTTTATTATGTCAGCTGTTAGTGGCAAAACTTATTCTGCTTAAATGGATATTTTGTAGGCATCAATAGGATTTCTTATTGTTGTTTTTTTTTTCTCATCCGGAGGAAGGTATGAGTGAGAACAATTTATAGAGGATCTCTCTCAGCTTTAACAAAGACATTTTATTTCTGTGAGGAATGAGTTGAGAGTGAAAGAGGATTTAGGCAGGGTGGAGAGGGGAGGCCACACATTCAGACGATTGCTTAAAAAAATGAGTTTAAAAAAATGAGTTTAAAAAACTTTTAGGCATTATTATTTAGAGACTGCTTAAACATCTTCAAGTATTATTTCCAACAGTTATTCTTTTATCCCTTTATCACAGAAAGAACACAGAGTTAACCACAGTTCTTATTCTTATTCTGGGCAATTCTGCCTTGGAATTTTCAGAACTCTTGTAATTTTTTTTTATTTTTACTTGAATACAAAAGATACCGTTTTCATTATAAAATGTCACCTGTTTTCAACTACTTCCTAGTAGAGAACATGAAAATTACGGAATTTCATGTGGTAAATAGGTTGATAGTAATATCTCCAAAGGTTTTCAAAGTGTGATGTAATGCTTTTTATTTCCTTTATGTCATTCTTTACAGTTAGACCTGATAATTATACACCAGCAGGTGGAGCTTCTTGGAAGTAAGTATATTATATTCTATACTTATTAAAACTGTTAAAAATATTTTAGGCTTCAGAAATTTTGTTACATTTAAATACGTCATAAACAATTAAGTTAAATGTTGATAAAATTAAATTAAAAAGATCAGTAAGTCTACTTTTTAAAACAAATATTGGAAAGCAAATTGTTAGTCCGATACAGATAAACATAAAAGCATAAAACTCTCCAAGTCCTTAGTAATATTGTTATCAGGGATCTAACATTATTTTTATTTTAAAATAATAAAAGATGTTTGATCATTTCCATGCTTCTTAATAATTTTTTTTTTAGTAATTTCAGAAATGGAAATCAAGCTTGAAATTAATAACAAAAACCCATCCTACTCCTGGGACTAATATTACACTGCATATTAACTAACTGGAATTTAAATAAAAACTTGAAACAAAACAAAAAATAAATAAATAAATAACAGAAACCCATCGAACAAAATCCAATGTTTTATCTTTGAATCAGTGATTCATCAAATGGCTTGTTTTTTAACAATACACAGATTTACAATGATGACTAACTGAATACAGATTGCTTGAGTATTTTTTATTCTTAATATTCTATACATAAAATAGAATATGTCAAAATTGTAATAAGCAAATGGCAGGATGGCACGCAGCTGTAGATATACAGCCAAATAGATCCTAAAACAAAACCATTACTATGCTGTGAGTTGTCCCAGTAAATTCCACAGCAGTGATAGAAGGATCATTTCAGGATTCGATTCTTTTCAGACTTTTTCAGTTGAAAAGCGGCACTATGTGTTCCAAGTAGGTCATATATCTGGAATCAAAATTTAATCATTGCACAGCTTTGTTCTCAGTACTTTGATTTCCATAGCTAAGCCCTCAAATTTTAGAGCATGGAAATAGATTTGCATGAAGAAGATACCATTCACTTAATAATTAGTCAGTGACTCTGTTTTCTTTTCTTTACTTATTTAAAGATTTGATACTAGGCAATAGCATTGTTTTAATGAATTATTTTTTCTTCCCTTAGTGATACTTGGCACTGAGACTTCCAACAAATATGAGATTAAAAACAGCCTGGGACAAAGAATTTACTTTGCAGTGGAGGAAAGCATCTGCTTTAATCGTACCTTCTGTTCCACACTGCGATCTTGCACTCTAAAGATCACGGATAACTCAGGTCGGGAGGTGATTACAGTAAACAGGCCTTTGAGGTGTAACAGCTGCTGGTGCCCTTGCTACCTGCAAGAGGTTAGTCATGGGCTGGACATGTACTTTTATTTTTCTACATTTGAAAAGATTAACAATTATTTAATAAATGACATCCATCTGGAGCCATGAGGCAATTCACCTTGGGATTGTTTGATTTGGTAGGTTGCTCCTTTAGGAGCAGAATAGCTGAAGGATTTGGTGATTCACTAACTTGTTTTTGTTTTGTTTTGTTTTGTTTTGTTTCCAACCAAAACCTCTAGTGGCTTCTGGTGAATGGGAAAAAACAGCTAATGTGTCACGTAAATAGGACACATCCTCTTGAATCTCTCTATTAGGTACATAATTATAATATCTATGAGATCCACCATTAAGCAAATCTACCCTTTGCATTCTCCGACTGTAGCAAAGTTCAGAAAGGGCTGAGTAATACCAAACCCTTCCAAGGTGTTCTCTTGGTTAGGTATTACTTTTCATACACAATCTCCCATCCCATTCAGCCATTTATGACAAACTTCGAACGGGAACAAAGACTATGTTATTGTTCTGAAGGGAATCATTTAATTATTTTAATATATAATAGATTTTCATCATTATCTAATAGATCTACAATAATAACTTTCATTGACATAATGCAGTTAAGTCAATATGGAACATTCACTTACCTTAATCTCTTTGATATCATAACATCTGTATGAGCTAGAAGAATACGTTTTACTCTCCACATTTAGCAACTGAGAAAACTGGGGCTTAGACATTGGAAGTAACTTACACATCACTGAAATATCATGAATGGGGCTAGATCCACTGTCCTTATTCAAATGCCAGTTTCTCAAAAAAAAAAAAAAAAAAAGGAAAAAAACAGTTTTTCTATTGACGACCTATGTTTAAGTACTCCACTTGGCATGATGAGAAATAAATATTAATACGAATGGGGTGAATTGAGGAAGTTTCTAGCAATACATATTGAAACTAATTCTCCAACTATTTATAGGCAGTTGCCTGGTTAAGTGATAAAATGGAGAAGGCAGTCATACATGGAGTTCAAATCTTCATCCTCCTACTGAGGATATTTAAGATTTAATATGCTCTAAGATGGTATGGTCAGTATAATATATCTGTTTGAAACTTTCTGATAATTGATGTTTTATTTTATAGTAGCTCAATGTCACATAAATGAAAAGATGTACCTTGATAACCATTAATAATTTTTAAAAATGTGGTCAAAATCAAACCAGTTATTTTAAAAATGACCCCAGAACAAATCTATATAATTCTTTCTTTTCAGTTTTTTTTTAATTTAAGTATAATTGACACACAATGTTACATTACCATCAGCTGTACAACTTAGTGATTTAACCAGTCAGATCTACATAATTCTAAGCACTCTCATTGAAACCACCTCTGGTGATCCAAGAACACTAAAGGCATACACATAAGACTATGAACTTAAATTTAAAAAAGACAAAAGGTAAACAGATTATAAGAGTTGGTTTGATTTAAAAGCAAACAATTTTCATTATTTTTACCCACCTCTAGTTTATTTCACAATGGATTTGATTTGACTACATAAATATGTTGAAGTACAATATGATGAAAAATAAAGAAATTAAGGAAATGAAGGTAATAGGGTAAAATACTAAAGTAAAGCCTGAAAATGCAATTGTTAGTCTGTAACGCTTTGGAAGAAGTGAACCAGGAATCAAACTGGTATGTAAAACAGTACCTTCACAAGAAGCATTTGTTTTTAATTGAACACAGAGAAGCTTGAAGTTGACAGCCTGAAGGGAAAACAATCACAAATAGCTAATAATTGGTAAGTGAGGGATAAAAATAGATGTGTGTTGTGGCAACACAGGAGAGGGAGTAGATTGGAAATACCTCATGGGAAACAGCTTCAGTGCCTGACCAATTGCCACACTCAGAACAAAAATGGCAAAGAAGCCAGCGTCCAGGGTCAGAAGACAATTCTGGGATAGGTTCTCTTCAGGGAAGGAAGATTAAAGACATGGACCTTCAGTGAATAATGCCAAGCATATCTACAGAGTGAATTTCTTTGTTTCTATAAAATAATAGAAAAAAATCCACTGCTGTGTTTCCTTATAGCAAATATTCAGAATAGTTTGTAGAATACAAAAATAATTTTATAAAAGTTACTGTTTAAAAGTAAATTGACACTTTAAAATTAAAATACAATAACCCTAGAAAAATCTTATTTTATTATTATCTCTTCTTACAGTTAGAAATCCAAGCCCCTCCTGGTACTATAGTTGGTTATGTTGCACAGAAGTGGGACCCCTTTCTGCCTAAATTCACAATCCAAAATGCAAACAAAGAAGATATTTTGAAGATTGTTGGTCCTTGTGCACCATGTGGCTGTTTTGGCGATGTGGATTTTGAGGTATGGATGACAGAATGAAGGATGTTTTCACTTAGGTCCTGATTTTTTGCAACATAATTGAATTTTAAGATATTCAAATCCTGAAATATCTCTGAAATAAATTTAGAAGACAATATACTTGTGAAATAATGTAATAAGCCCATATTCTACATGCCAATAATAACTCATAATTTCAGAGATATTAAGAAATTTTTTTAAAAACATGCTAAAACTTTTTGATGTGTGTGGAATTATAGCACCTATGGTACAAAGCAAATACATTTAGTTTAGAATCACCCTAAATTATATCTTCTTTCCTGTTGCTCTGTAGTTACATATCCCAGTTCAGGTCTCATCTAAAAAGCACATTCCTTTAAAATATCACTAATTTAGAAGCTATGGCCAGAAGACCTGCTAACTTCATTCTGTAAAATAATCTACACTTACATAAACGTATTTGTGTAAACGCAATGTTAAAAAAACAATAGGAAGTTTCAAATTTGGTTGTAAGAATATGAGCTATCTTAACTGCTTTTCCTAGAAATACATTTTAGGCAAAGCAGATTGAATTTAAAGGGTATATTTGCTATTCATTCCTTCTCTCTTTACATATTCATGTATATCCCACCTAGGACGTTCATTCAGTTTGAAGGACTTCACGGAACACTGTTCACCCAAAATATGATGTAAATTCTGCAACGTGAGGTGTTCTAACTCCACTCCACTCTAAAAGGACTTAGCACGACTTTCCTAAGACTAAGGATAGGCTCCTCATTCAGTGGGGAGTCTCCTTGTCCCTTTCTCTTTCCCTCCCCGTGCGCTCTTTCTCTCTCAAATTAAAAAACAAACAAAAAAAACAAAAAAAAAAAACTAAAGGATAAAAATGTGCCTTATGATTAAGACTTGAAAATTTTATTATTGGGATGCATGGGTGGCTCAGTCAGTTAAGCATCTGCTTTCTGCTCAGGTCCTGATCCCAGTGTCCTGGGATCAAGCCCCACATTGAGCCTGAGCCCATGTCAGGCTGCCTGCTCAGTGGAGAATCTGCTTCTCTTTCTCCTTCTGCCCTCCCAATGCTGTGTTATCCCTCACTCTCATCCTCTCTTGCTCATAAATAAATAAAATACTTTTTAAAAGTTTTAAAAACATTTTAGTATTTGTAGTAATGAATGTCCTAAGTAACTTTCTCTATTTTCTATCTTCTCTCACCATACAGAAAGTGAAAATTTATACTGAATCACTTTCAGCCTTTGCATGATAATCAGAGCAAGCAAAATAGTTGATAAAGTTTAATTGTAGATGCCTTCTAGCTGAGAAGGACTATAGATTTTTTATGTCAAACTGCATTTCCTGTGTGATATATTTGCCCAGAGGATTTTTCTTTTTTAGTGAAAAATAGGACTTGGAGTTAGTAATAAAGGAATGACCTTTATGTTATATTTAGTATTTAGTATATTTTTTATATATATATTTATATATATATATTTATATATATATAAATTTATATTTAGTTATTTAGTATAACATAAAAATGAGATTAAGCAATGGCTGATAATATTTAAGTATGTTAGTAGTTATAAGATCTTAGCAATAAAAATTTAAAAGTTTACAAATTAGGGGCGCCTGGGTGGCTCAGTGGGTTAAGGCCTCTGCCTTCAGCTCAGGTCATGATCTCAGGGTCCTGGGATCGAGCTCCCGGTAGTTGTCGAGCTCCCCGTAGTCGTCGGGGCTCTCTGCTCAGCAGGGAGCCTGCTTCCGCCCTGCCTCTCTGCCTACTTGTGATCTCTCTCTCTCTGTCAACTAAATAAACAAAATATTTTTTAAAAAGTTTACAAATTATACGTAGAAGTTTCTTCTAAAAATCTTATCTAAAATCTTTATCAAAAATAATTTCTTTTTTTTATAATTGAAGAATTCAGGTTTGAAATCTGGACCTCAGGTAATGGAATTACCTTCAAGGTTAGTCCATGTAATTGAGTCTATGTACCTGCTGCCATCTTGTGGTAGCCTGGCCTTAATTATTTATAGATATTATATTCTCAATCTGCATACAAAAAGCAAAAAAAGAAAAGGAATTAGGATGAATTAGACAACTGTCAGAAAAGCAATATTTCTGAAGAGTGAACTATAAAATTAAGTCTACAAACTTGTGCTTATATAAAGGAATGAATGACATGGAATTGTCACTGATGATAAATAAAATAATTCATCTCTCTCGAAGCAAACATACTTAAAACCATTTGTTTCACTTTTAGATTTAACATCTCTTATTTTCTTTTCAAAGGTGAAGACCATTAATGAAAAGCTTACAATTGGGAAGATTTCGAAATACTGGTCAGGTTTTGTAAATGATGTCTTCACCAATGCTGACAACTTCGGAATTCACGTTCCTGCAGATCTAGATGTAACAGTCAAAGCAGCGATGATAGGTGCTTGTTTTCTCTTTGTAAGTATGGTCTTAAAGAGCATGAGTGATTTATTTCCCTTTTCTTATTAATCAGTATGGAGCCAATCTCATTTTACACAGCATCACTTTTACCCCCAAGGAGGATTATGCATAGAAGGCTAGTTTGAGACCAAGTCTTCAGAAGTCAGAATTCAGGCATTTCTAATAGGCAGCCCTTCTCCACTGGCCCTCATACACCCTCTCCCTCAAGAACTGGTGCCCTGTTACATCCTACTCATCGTTTCTTCAAAACCTTAGTTACCCTTCTCTTTCAATTTCAATTTATATTTTTCACTCATTTTTGCTTTCACTGAAAAATATGTAAATAGCACATTATATATCCTGGGTAAAGTTCAGGACTGTTCCATTGTTTAACAATGAATTAAGTGACATTCAGAATGTGAAAAGTACAGCTGTCTTGCCCTTCCAATATGAACATGGACACATGGATTCAGTGGGGTGAGTTAATATGTATCAGCTTCCATTATTACAAAGATATCATGTCTTCGTCCCTTTCTTTCTAACTTAAAAGTCCATTAAAAATATTTTCTTCTTGGTGTGGATTAGTGATAGGAGAACAGAATTCAAGTGATACCTGTGCCAAATGCTTGGCCATCTCCTGTTCATGATTTTTCCTCTAATATCTCCCTCATTGCGTATCATTGTCAATGCTCTGCAAAAAGTCATGGAATTTTAAAATAAACCTACATTCTTTCTCTCATATTTTGTTGTTCTTCAGTGTTTTAGGATCCTAAATCTTAAGGTTATGTTAATGTGTGCTGTTGTGGAGGAAAAAATGGCTCTATCTACTCAGCTTTTTCTAAAGACTCTTGGGAAATAGAGTAACTAAAAATAATTCCCTAGTGACATTGCTGATAGATACTTAGAGTTTAATACATAATATATATTTTTCCAGGAATTTAACTTATTGGTTCCCTATCACTGGTAGAAAGTAGAATTCATATATGTGTAGTGCTAGGTTTTTATACTTACTAAGTAGTCACTTACCTTCAATTCCCATTTGCATCTATAAATCTAACCAGTTCCAGTCAGTCTTGCCTATGACCTAATATTTCTTCCATTCCTATTCTCCTCTATATCCAGGTGACAGGGCTTTTAATTTTCCATTTCCTGCTCACCTTTCCCATTTTTGATCATTCAGCACTGCAACACCAATCCCTCCAAACATACGTGCACACACACACACACACACACACACACACACACACACGGCTCTTTTCCCAACACCTTAATTTGGCCTTTCTGATTAAGCTCTGCAGTTAATGTTTATATTTAAAAAACAGATCATCTTTAATCTGCCCTACCCACTTGTATTATCTAACAGGCTGATGGTAAAAATGTACTATCAACAATTTGCTATGCAGTATAAATTGGAGAAGCTCTGATTCCGATAACAGCCCAGTCATCAAAAAAATAAATTTTTAACTCCATTGTCTCAGAGAGAAGTATACTTACTGAGAATATTGAATGTTCCCAGACATTTCTTTTTTCCCCTTTTTTTGAGGGGGGGGGTGCAATATAGCTTTTAAAACTATTTCTCACATGTATTTCCAAGATAAATTACTACTTCTACATATAATTTGATAGGAAGAATTATATTTTTAATTTTTAAATGCTGTCCCCATTTTGTTACCTTGTGCTGACAGAGAGACCTTTGGAAAACTGCTGATGGGAGAATATTCACTGATCCAAACAGCAAAATTCACAAGTACTAACCTAATGTTTGGTCTCCTCTAGTTTGATGCTACCATTCCACAACCCATAGCTCTAACTACCCCTTCTCAAAATCCTCCTGTTACAGTTTTCGGTACTTCTGAGATGACTACCTAGTTACTAACCACATAGTCCATGATGATGTATGTAATACTTGCTCAAAAGTCAGTTTCTGTTGCAACGTCCCGCACTGACACAATGTCCTGCAAAGCCTGCACTGTCTTGATCCCCCAAGATTTTGGCTGATGATACCCTGCTGATTCAGATAAGACTTCCAAGTAGCTTGTATTCTGAAAACTAGAAAGTATCGTTGAGCTTAAAACTTTTTTATTTTCCTCCTACTGCCAAATCGCAAGTTGCTGCAACACCTCTGGGAAACATAATTGCTTTATATAATCAAAGCTTCCATGTGAGACTCCAGATCTTAATTGTTGCCTTTCTGTAAATGTACTCATATCCACTTTATTTATTTGTAGGATTTTATGTTCTTTGAACATTCACTGGCTGGATTATAACAAGCAAGATGACAAAAACAATAAAATATGCAAGAACATATTTCAGTAAGTAAACTTTAAATGATCTCTTTCCCTTTGAAGATGTCTATATTTGACGCTGTCTAACTCTTTTTCATTTTCTTCTAGAAATCCCTTGGGCTCTGGATTTCATTTCTAAATGGTTTGCATATTTGCTTTTTTTGGTAACAAATGTTAATTATTGTATTTATTAAAGCATAATGTAATGAAGCAATTATCTTGTTGTATATGCATGATAGCTAATGACAAGATTACTGGGCCGAGCACAGTGTTGCTTTGAGAGACTGTCATTCTTCTTTTTAATCCTTTTGAAGTTATTGCATGGGTAAGCATGAAAGATGAGAACTAAGGCTTGCAGCACCACTGATGAAAATTCAATGTTTAGAGAGCACTTTGAAGTTTTGCTGGTACTAAGGCTGGTTACTAATCAAAGGGACTGGATTTCTAAAATATTTTTTCATAAGCAGACTTTTGAGTTTGTTTATTAATCTTATTGTAGCGAGACATTTTTACTTTATATCAGAAAAGCTGAAAGTTGGATAAGTAATATGCTTAAAGATGAGGAGGGAGACAGATGAAATCAATTTGTTCTAGTGGTAAGGAACTAATATTTCAAAAAGGAAGTCAATATTTACAAACCAAAGTATGCTGTAAGCACATATGCACACCGGAGATTTAAATAAGCATATAAAGAGACTTCTCAGTTAGCAAAAGCAGTGATGCAGAGCAGGACCTTTATCTATTTACAGTGAGTTCAGTCAAGAAAGGGATGTAAGGCTCTGAAAAATGCACAATTCTGTGACTTAAAAATAAGCAAACAAAAACAAACAAATAAAACCTTAACACATGAGGCAAATGCAGAAGTCAGGGCATATAGTCTACTCAATTAATTAATGCCTTCTGCTTTAACGTTTTTGGAGTCCTCTAGAGAACTACATCTAGTTATCTATTCATTCCAAAGCCCACACAAGAAGAAATTTTTAGAATTTCTTTTTAAGAATGATTTAGTTTTTCCCTTTCCAAAATGAGGAAACAGACTTGTTTTAAGCAAAGCAACATGTAGCCATTTGGACTCTAATTTAGAGTCATATAAATACTACCCAAATTTCTATCCACTTAGAAAGATGTTTAAAGAAACTCCACACAATCCCCCACTTGGTTACAGAAATGTGTTCCAAGTATCTGTTACTAAGTTAATTGTTTGGAATTAGAAATCTCTCATCTAGAAACAACACTGTATGTGTCAGTTAAGTTCCAAGACAGCCAGCAAATAGCAATTTAGTCCTGGGGTCAGGGCTCTAGGTTGTAGAAGATGGAAAGGAAAACAATCACCTTTTCTGAGAATGCCCTTCATTGGCACACTGAAACAAACTGTAAAAGGTTCACCAGTAGAGCAGAATAGTTTAATAAGCACTGACACCAAAAAAAATAACTATGCTTCAAACCTAGTCTTTCTCTTGGTGGTCCCATCCATTCTTTCAGTGTCACGGGTAGGACCTGACTGTTGGAACAGTACAGTCACAGAAGCAAATGGCAGTCCTGTGTGTGATAGATGTTTTCTTGTGTCTAGCTTTGCTCTATGCTAGCCATGCATCTGTAAATTGGTCCTATAGTCTTTCTCAACCTTCTCAGCTTTCCCATGTGTTACTTTGGAGAGCAGCAGTGACTGCAGTGATTCCTCTCCTTCCCCTTGATCTATTTTAACTAATGTGTGTGTGACGTATTCATAACCACTTAAGGAAGTGTCATTTTTAAAGCTGATGCTTCTTAACTAATAAGATGGAGAAAAATAGCCAGCATTTTCTGAGGGCTTATTACAACGCTTCATATGAATTCCTGGTAGGGGAACAAAATGCAGTAAAAACAAAGGAAAATCGGGCAGTATGTGGAAGCCTGCCTGGCACCCTATCTTTCCCCCTCCCCAAGTTTTCTCCTTAAAGATGAACCTGCATTCATAGCTTCTTATACTTTTTATTTCTAAACTGAAAGATTTTTGTAATTTACGTCAAAACAGCAGCATTCGACATTCTCATGGTGGGGCAAAATAGGAGAAAAACACTACTTATATAAATACTGTATTTTAACGTGACAAACATTTGGATTTAAAAAAATATTGAAATGAATCCTAAATCAGTAAAAAGTTTAAAGTGCCTACTTCTAACAAAACTCCCTAAAGATAAAAATCTTTCTTAGAATATAGCACTTATTTCAAAGTTGGCTATATTATATATTATATAACAAATTATATAACTACCTGCTGTAGTACTTTGCTCCTGAATTGCCCACTGCAACAAATTAAGATCCATCCCGTCTCCTCTTCCTCATTAAAAGTGAAATTGATCTCTACATGTTCTCTGTGCTCTTTTTCTTTTTCCTTTCCCACCAAACATGAGTCCATGAGAGACTAGCAAGACTTTCACTCTTCGGTAACATTTTCAGGGAAAAAAAATGTAGTTATAGAATGAGGAAGGTCCTCTGTACAGTTTTCTGGTTTACTAACTTCCCTTGGCCCCACTACCCTCTCAGAACACGGGCTCTAACCCTGTTTACTCTGAGATGTACTAGGAAAGACATGGCCAGCTTCAAATGCCTTTCTTTCTTTTTCTTTTCTTTCTTTCTTTCTTTCTTTCTTTCTTTCTTTCTTTCTTTCTTTCAAGTTAATAAATATCTACTGACCCCCTCCCATATGCCAAAAATATAGTACCACCTTCTTTGGTGGAGTTTTATTAATCCAAAAATGGCACACACAAAGGTTAGACTTAAAACATAAGTATTTACAGGAGATGGACAAGGTGCTAAGTAGGGCAGAGGTATTTGACTTGGTCAGGTTGTGAGGGAGTAAGGGAGATTTAATATACAAAGAATAAGTGGAGTAGAAGGAAGAATGTGTTTGGCTTAGGTCCTAACATTTGCAAAAGTTCTGTGATGGGGGAGGAGGAGGACATGACAATCTCCTGTGACCTGAAGAAGGCCAGTGACTGAAGTTTAGGTAATGGGGTGGAATATGGTACAAGATGAGGATGAATAGGGCCTGGAAGCCGTGTGAAAGACTCTAGCCTCTGTCTCATCAGCAAAGCGTCTGATGAAAGTTCATAAGAAAAGAGTTAACTGATTTAACATTAGATTGGGGAGAGTGTAGGAAAGGATGCTCATGAACCAATTAGTAGGTTACTAAAGTAGTTTAGGTGACAGTTATTGGTAGCCAGGACATGTGGCACTCACATGAAGGGAAAGAAGTGAGCAGATTCAAGATATATTTAGGGGACAAAATCACCATTATTTGATACTGAGTGGAAATTGAAGATTTGAGGAAGAAAGGGGATTTCTAGCCTTACACCACTTACTGATGGAGAGAAAACAAAAAGAGGATCTGGTTTGGGGATAAAGAACAGATTTAAACATACTGATTTGGTCATTCCTTTAAGTCTTCCAAAAGAATATATCAAATAGACCAGTGGGCATTTTTTCAGCTAGTGTATTTCTGAAGAGAGAGATGAGTATATAAGACATATATAGAGACCCACAGAGATCTGAATAATTATTGGTTTACTTCAAGGACACCCCTAAAAAATATTTTAAAACATGCATGGTCAATGAGTGTATTCATTCACTTACTAACTAATATTTTACAGAGTTCCTTCTATATACTAGGTGCTATATTAGAGAGTGGAGATACTATGCTAAGTGTCAATTATTCCTACTCTAAAGATACATTCAACAAATATTTATGATGTTGTTGTTATGTACTAGGCATGAAACCAGCATGAAGTTCCAGCCAACAAGGTGCCCGCCCTCTTGGAGCCTATATTCTAATACAGATGGACAATCAACCAACAGATAGCAAAAAATACCATGTAATTGTAGGTGATCGTAAATACTGATAGAGGCCATCACTCAGTATCTAAAACAGTAAGGTGAATTTATTGCTTGCTTCAGCACGGGAGTGCTGAATTTATAAGACATAGCTTACAAGCAAAGGAGAAAGCTTATACAGATAACAATGGATAACAGTGGATAACAATGTATGAGATGAGTGTGTGTCCCCTGGCTAGGTGGGGTCAAAGTCAGGAAGTGAACACCCAAGAGAACATCCCAAGCCAAGTGCAGGGGGCCTGGCTGGCTCAGTCAGGGGAGCACGTGACTCTTGATCTTGGGGTTGTGAGTTTGAGCCCCATGTTCAGTGTAGAGTTGCTTAAGAAAGAAAGAAAAAATGCTACACCAAGACCACAGCACAAACACAAAGAAGTTAGAAATAGGGTAATTATCATCAAGAATGAAGAGACCCTGGGGCGCCTGTGTGGCTCAGTTGGTTAAGCCTCTGATTCTTGATTTTGGCTCAGGTCATGATCCCAGAGTCATGGGATTGAGTCTTGCATCAGGATCCACTCTCAGCACAGAGTGTGCTTGTCCCTATCCCTCTGTCCACACTTCAATCTCTCTCTAGGTCTAAAATAAATAAATAAAATCTTAAAAAAAAAAAAAAAAACGAATGAAGCGGCCCCATGAGTTGAGGATGCATGTAATGAGACTGGCCCTTCCTGAGCAATGAGGTCACCCCTTCTCACTCAGCTGTGCTGCAACTGTCCTCCCATAGTAATGCTACATCATGATTCTAAGAATAGCTTCTCCTCGATGTGTTTTGTCTATCCTTGACCAAAGCATCTTTTGGTGGCATTAAAAATTATTTACAAGCTAGATGGAACTCAGAAACTGAGTCCGAGTGATCCAACAGGTACTGGAGAAAAACAAAACAAAACAGAAACAAAAACCTTGAATATCCTTCCCTATCCATACATCCTGGAGGAAGGAAATTAAAACTCATTAGATAAGTCACCCGCATTTCCCTACAAAAGAGAGGTTTTGATAGGTGATCGGAAGCATCAGAGTATAGCCCAGCAGTGTACAAAGCAGTCCACTACAATTCTCATTCATTGAGGTTTATTTATATACATTTAGATTTGTTGTTTGGTATCAAAATGATG